AACCAATAAGTTGAAGAAAACAAAAAGGAACTAAGAAAATACTTGAGATCAGTGAAAATGAAGAAACAATGTAACAACACTTATGGGCTCTAGCAAAGCAATGTTGAAAGGAAAATTTGTAGCATTAAATGCCTACTGTAAGAATAAAGAAAAAAAAAATTCACATCGATAACTTATCTTCTACTTTCCGACACTAGAAAAAGATGAAGAAACTAAACTTAACCAAACAGGAGGAAGGAAATAATAATGATTATAATTAAAGTTAATGATATAGAAAATACAAAAATAGAAACATGAAAAAAAAACAATATGGAAACTAATGAAACTAAAAACTGACTCTTGGGAGAAAAAAAAATCACAAAATTATAAATTTCTAGCTAGCTTGACCAAGAGAAAAATAAAGACTCAAATTACTAAAATCAGAAACGGAAACAAGGGAAATTTCTACCAACTATACAGAAATACAAAGGGTTATAAAATACTATAAACAATTGTGACAAAAAAATTAGATAAACTTAGATAAAGTGGACTGATTCCTAGCAACACACAAATAATAAAAACTGACTCAAGAAAGGAGACATAATGTAAGTAGATCTTTAACAGAGAGGATTAAATCAGTTGTAGAAAATCTACTCGACCAATGCCTGATTGGAAAGCAGGCAGGGAACAGTGAACTCTACTGCAAGTAGATGACTCGACTGACTGTTCAGAGCTCACAGTGAAATTATCAACAGTGGTTCTTAATCAGTGACAGCCTAAAACATGCTCAAGAATTTAGGCTCTGCCATCCATTGACCCAACTTGAATAATGGCTCATCAGTTGGCTAGTTTTGAGTCCCTCAGCAGGTCATTTAATGCTTTTGTTCCCATAGTCTATTTGAGGCCACTTTACTGGTCTTTAAGTTTTGTGAATATTAAACAGTGTACATAAAAACTTGATGAAGAGCTCAACACTTAGTAGGTGCACAGTAAAACTTGTTGCACCATTACTATTGCCATGAAAATCATCTTTATCCAACTTTTCTCTTTAGAAAAACACTGCTATCATAATTTTTGCTCCCTTAATACAGGTTGAGCATCCCTAATTTGATAATCTGAAATTTGAAATATCCAGAATAGCCAAAATAACTCAAAAAAGAAAAAAGTTGGGGACTCACATTTCTCAATTATGAAACTTAGTACAAAGCAATGGTATTCAAGACAGTGTGACACGTATAAATTGAAAGAATAGTTATGAGAGTACAAAATAAGCCCACGTATCTCTCTGGTCATCTGATTTTCACCAAGGGCACTAAGACCATTAGTGTGGAAAGAATAATATTTTCAACAAATGATGCTGTGACTACTTGATATCTACATGCAAAGGATGAAATTGAAACATTATCTCATAACATACACAAAAATTAACTCACAACATAGCAAACACCAAGTCAGCTGGTAGCGTGTGATAAGGCAGCTGGATCCCACATGACCAATTGCATGGTATGAGTCCTGGACCCAGCAGCTTGAAAAACACACCAGGCACGTATGTGGCATGCCCAGAATCCCAAGAGAAGAAAGACCATTCCCCCATCCCTCTAAGGGTGGGAGTTCTTTCTCATTCTCTCATCTTTCTCTATCTCCAGCAAGCACATACTCCCTATAGCCAAAAAAAAAAAAAAAAAAAAAGGATTAACAACTTTTTATTTTCAACAAATGATGCTGTGACTACTTGATATCTACATGCAAAGGATGAAATTGAAACATTATCTCATAACATACACAAAAATTAACTCACAACATAGCAAACACCAAGTCAGCTGGTAGCGTGTGATAAGGCAGCTGGATCCCACATGACCAATTGCATGGTATGAGTCCTGGACCCAGCAGCTTGAAAAACACACCAGGCACGTATGTGGCATGCCCAGAATCCCAAGAGAAGAAAGACCATTCCCCCATCCCTCTAAGGGTGGGAGTTCTTTCTCATTCTCTCATCTTTCTCTATCTCCAGCAAGCACATACTCCCTATAGCCAAAAAAAAAAAAAAAAAAAAAGGATTAAAAACTATTATCTAAAAAACACAAAAGCACCCAATGTGAAATTATAGTCCTTTATAAATATTTTCCTAAATACAAAATGGCCACAGGTGAACAAAAACACCCCAAAACAAAAAAAAAAAAAAAAAAAAGGATTAAACACTATTATCTAAAAACAAAACTATAAAACTCTTAGAAGAAACATAAGAATTAGGACCAGCAGTTGGCGTAATGGCTATGTCGCTGAACTCCCATGTAGTCGACCACGGTTCGAGTCCCAGACCCGGTAGCTTAAACTCACAAGGGGCGCATGTGCGTGCATGCCCAAGATCCCAAGAGGAGAATGGGGGAGAAGGGATTGTAGCGTGGCCATCCCCCCTGGGGGGTGATTTCTCGCTTTCTGTCTCTCTGTCTGTCTCTGTCTTTCTGGTGAGTGCACGCACCCATAGCAAAAACTTCTCAAAAAAAAAAAAGAAAGAAAGAAAAAAACATAAGGATAAATTTTCATGACTTTGAATTTGATAAAAGATTCTTAAATTTGACACCAAAAGCACAAGCAAAAAAGTAGTAGTACATAATTAAATGAACTTTATCAAAACTAAAAACTTTTGTACTTTAAAAAAAAAAGTCTGGGTATATAATAATACAGTACTAAAACATGGCATTCTAAGAGTATGACTCACATGGGAAGGTTCTAGGTTCATATACAGAGATCTCTCTGAGTATAGTAGCAGATCTAGGGCTGGCTGAGGCTGAGGGTGAATCAAGGCATTAGAATCCTGTTGAAGGTGACTGTCTCTCTGTTTCTCTCTCTATTGCTCATGGAAAGAAGAAATAAATAAACTTTAAAAACACGCTATCAAGAAAATGAGGGACCAGCAGTTAGCGTAATGGCTATGTCACTGGACTCCCACGTAGTCAACCACAATTTGAATCCCAGACCTGGCAGCTTAAAACTCACGCCGGGCATGTGTGCATGCGTGCCCAAGATCTCAAGAGAAGAATGGAGGAGAAGGGATTGCGGATTGCGGTGTGGCCATCTCCCCTGGGGGGTGATTTCTTGCTTTCTGTCTCTCTGTCTCTGTCTTTCTGGCGAGCGCACGCACCCTATAGCAAAAACCTCTCAAAAATAAAAAATGATTAAAAATACAAAAAGTGGTAAGTGTTGGGGGGGGGTTGTGGTGAAAGGGGAACTCTTCTTACACTGTTGGTGGGAATGTAAATTGGTCCAGCCACTGTGGAAAACAATATGGAGGTTCTACAAAGATCTACAAATAGAACTACCATTTGATCTAGCAATCCCACTTCTGGGTATCTACACAAAGCACAGGAGAATCATCAGTCGGAAAAGCACTTGTACATCAACATTTATTCCAGCATTACTCACAATCACTAAGACATGGAACCAACCCAAACAGATGAATGGATTGAAAAAGTGTGGCACATATACTCTATAGAATAGTATTAGAATAATATTCAGCCATAAAAAAAAAAGATCCTGCATTTGACAGAAAGTGGTCGAATATGGGAGATTTATTGCTGAGTAAAACAAGCCAGGCTATGAAAGAAAGATATCATGTATCCAATTAATATATATCAACTATCTGCACTCTATGGGAGAGACTGAAATATTGGAGTACATAAAAAGTAGTGAAAATAGTTATGAATGTTGAAGACAGTGTGGAATGAGGGTGGGGAAGAGTATAGAGAAGGATAGCAAGAGAACAAATAGAGAGGGGCATGACATTTGTGGGACATAGAAATGGTTTACTATCTGTTGATAATATGTACAGTATTCTCAACTGGACTGGTGTGAGAAGTATTTCATGTTGAGTAAAATCTCTTTATAAGCCAAATGACATATAGTGATTGAATGTTTTAAAAAAAAATGAGAATAAATAATGATAATAGTAATCTGGGGAAAAAAGAAAAGCTACTTGATGATGATGATGTGAATAGTAATGGCTTTGTCTTGATATGCATGGTAATCGTGCTGGAAAAAGAAATGTTATACACGGTAAAGATATATGTGATTAAATATAATATGAAAACTTAAAAAAAAGAATTCATTTCCCAAAAAAAAGTTTTATCTATGACACTGAAAAAAAATTCATTGTACTAATACATTCTAAAACATGGACTAATCTCAAAAAGCTTATGCTAAGTGAAAGAACCCATTCACAAAAGAGCACATAATACATTATTTCATTTATAGAAGTATTTCATTTATAGAGTCCAGTAGACGAAAATCTAAAAAGACAAAGTAGCCTTAGCACTGGGACAGGGATATGGGAGATAAAAAGATGAGAGAAGAGCTGGCAGGTAGCATGGTGGTTAAGGCCCTGGACTCCCACATGGCAGACCGCAGTTTGAGTCCTGGACCTGGTAGCTTGCTTTCTCTATCTCTCTCTGTCTCACCCTGGTCAAATTGAAGGAGAATGGTGATAAATGGCATTTTAAAAATTCATTTTTTAAAGAATTATTTTATTTAACTTTATTTATCCATATATTTATTTTTTAATTTGACCTGAGAGGGACAGAGTGAGAGAGAGAGAAAGAGAGAGAGAGAGAAGTGAGAAAGCAAGCCGCCAGGTCCAGGACTCAAACTGTGGTCGGCCATGTGGAAGTCCAGCTCCCCTAACCATTATGCCACCTGCCGGCCCCCTAAAAAAATTCTTTAGAAAAAAAGATGAGATATAAAATGTATGGGGTATCTTTTAAGGTTTATTTTGATTAAAATATTCTTAAATTGACTATGATAATGAATGTACATGTCTTTTAATACAGTAAAAATCATTGAATTGTATAGCTTAAATAGGCGATATGTATTGAATAAAAATTATCTCCATACTTCGTTCATTTTGCTTGATTTTTAGGACTATATGCATGCATTAATTTTATTTTAAATATTAATTAAATTGGAAATAGTAATTACTGTTAAAATGCTTTAAGTGACAAGAAATCTAATTACCATCTTTTTCTTACCATTGTCCCCAGTTATTCTTATTTCGTATTCTCTGTAGAGTCTTCTTATACTTTTGATAATTTCGTCCATGTACTTTTGCTCTGGTGGCATCACCCCCTCCATATTTTTATGGCGACCAAATATCCTAAGCCCAACTTCTGCCCAGTTTTCTTGTAAATGTTTGATAATCTTGAGGGAATCATATTTTGACACTAGACTATCCCCAGTAAACTTTTCTCTTTCCTCACTCAGCACCTAGAGAATGAGAGGGCAAGGAGTGAATAATGATTTAATCAAAGTCATTTAGATCCTCATACTCCAGTGACTTCCAATTCTTCTGGAGTATATAGCCTATTATCATTGTTCATACCATTTCTCCTCCAAAGAGATGGTACGTAACATACACTTTACTTTTAAAATTAAAGTGAATTTAAATTAATTTTGATGTCTTATTAAAAAAAAAAAAAAAAAAACATTGCTTACCAGGGTGAAAATCATTGTGTTAAATCCTATGTGGGCAAAGAATTAGTGACAGGCAATCAAATCTTAGAGAGCTGAGCATGTTTATTACTTGTTTTAGTAAGGTTGTAATATGATCCCCACCAGACTGAGACAGCTCCCAGGATGTACAGTTTGTTTTTTATTCATCAGTCTAACTCCAAATCAAAGTCCTGAACATGGCACACCAATGAATATTTGCGGAAAAAATAAAGTACAGTTTATGTATATAACACTATTTGTGACTCAGATAATGGAAACAATGCCCACCTTTCAATAAGAGTAATATCGAGGGAACCAGCAGTTAGCGTAATGGCTATGTCGCTGGACCCCCACGTAGTAGACTGTGGTTCGCGTCCCGGACCCAGTGGCTTAAAACTCACACCGGGTGCATGTGTGTGTGTGCCCAAGATCCCGAGAGGAGAATGGAGAAGGGATTGCAGTGTGGCCATCCCCCCTGGGGGTGATTTCTCGCTTTCTGTCTCTATGTCTCTCTCTGTCTGTCTGGCGAGCGTGCGCATCCTATAGCGAAAACCTCCCCCCCGCCAAAAAAAAGAGTAATATTGAGAAGAAGGTGGCAATGCAGCAGAATAATAAAAAAAGCAACAATTTTGGAGATCTGGTCCCTGGCCTAGTGGTTAAAGGAGTCAGATCTCACATTGCTCACTGCACAATTCAAATCCTGGTCCTGGTAATTTGAAAAGCACATTGGGTGTGTGTGTGTGCCTGTCCTAAATCCCAACAGGATGGAGAACTGGAGGAGTATGGTATGACCGTGCTTCGCTGGAGAATGTTTTTTCCCTCACTCTCTCTCTGTCTCTGGTGAGTGTACATACTCTCTGGCAATTAAAAAAAAAGAAAGAAAGAGTAAAAATTTTAGAGTTGGAGAAAACTAAACTCTAACTCTGACTCTGCCTCTTCCCAGTTTTAGATAAATCAGATAAGTTGTTTAACATTTTTAAGTTTCAAGATTGGCATCATATGGCTACTATGAAGAATAAGATAATATGTAAAAAGCATTTTCAGCTCCTGACAAAAAGTGCTTAATAAATAAGAGTTATTATTATTCCTAATAAACAAAGAAGCCTTGGGACCATGTCGCTGGACTCCCATGTAGCTGACCACAGTTCGAGTCCCAGACCTGGTGGCTTAAACTCACACTGGACGCGTGTGCATGCGTGCCCAAGATCCCAAGAGGGGAATGAAGGAGAAGGGATTGCAGTGTGGCCATCACTACCTGAAGGGTGATTTCTTGCTTTCTGTCCCTCTGTCTGTCTCTGTCTTTCTGGTGAGTACATGTGCCCTATAGCAAAAAACTCTCCAAAAATAATAATAATAATAAAAGATAAAAATAAATTAAAAAGCCTGATTTTTAAAAATGTTATCAATTCATATTAAACTGTCAGATGAACAGTAAAAGCCCCTAGATATATTATATGTGGGCTGGAAAACATCTTTAATTCTGAGAATATTCTGTTCAAGTCATTCCAAAAAAAATAAAAGACAATTTTTTTGGTATCAGGGTGAGATTTCATTAGGTGATTTGATATTCATTTAAGAATTATTTCAATATCACATTATATATTTTCCCTTGTGAAACTACTGGGTTGTCTTACAACCCATTATATATAACAGTAATTTGAGTAAGGAAACCTATTCTCAAGCTCAAACTCTTTTAAAAAGATGTTATAAACAGATAAGCAAAATGTGATACATACATAAAATGGAATATCGTTCTGCCTTAAAAAGGAAGAAGATTCTGACACATGCTACCAGGATGAACCTTAAGGATATTATGCTTCAGGAAATAAACCAGTCACAAAACAAGAAATAGTGTGATTCCATTGACGTGAGGTGCCTAGAATAGTCAAATTCATAGACACAAAGTAGAGCGATGGTTTTCAGGGGCTGAAGAGAGGAGCAGAAATGGGGAGTTATTGTTTTTAACGGGTACATAATTTCAGTTTGAGAAGATGACGAGACATCCATCTGGACATGGATGCGTAATGATAATTATACAACAATGTGAATATACTTAATGCCATTGAAATGTATACTAAAAAATTATTAAAGTGGTAAATTTTATGTTGCAAATATTTTACCATCAAAAAAAGTTAATTTTGAAAGTCCAATTTGTTCTTAAGACAAGAGCCAGATACAAGAGAGGCACAAATGTTACTTACATCTTATAACTAGATGAGAGAATCAGGACTGCTCTCGCTGCCACTCAAGTATCTTTTCCCAGTTATTTTATTTTTTTCTGGCAACCTAACTTTATTTAAATAAAAAAATGTGAAATAGAATTGAAAATAAGTATAATTTTTAAAAGCCCCTATGGTCTTGCAGTTTTCATCATCTTTTATAAAACAATATGACATTTTTAGAGAATGAGATATGACTCGGTTGTAGATGAAGCATGCCAAGATTTACAACCAGAACTTTGATGATCAAGCCATTTATTAGAAAGTCTTACTTTTTGCCACTGCTTGAAGTCTGAGGCCACTGTGTCGACTATGTTTCCCTTACTAAGGAATAAAATGTCTTTTTCACTGAAATAAGAGAAAGAGCAAGAGAAAGGTCTCAAAACAAGGTATAAACAAAGCAAACAGTATGTCTATATGCTAATTAACAATATTATGTTTTTCATTGATGATTGTCTTAGCCATGACTTTCAGGTATAGCCCTCTCCCTACAGGCATTCGTCTCTACATTTACACATCTAGGGGCCAGGCAGTGACATGATGGTGAACGTGATGCTCAGCAAGGGTGACCCACAGGGGAGGATTCTGGGTTCAGGTGAAGAGACTTCCCTGAGTACACTGAGTACACATGCGCCCGTGATCCTGGCTGGCTAAAGCTGAGTTAGAACATGGCATCATGACCTTACTGGGGGTGCTCTCTCTGCCTCTCTTTCTCTTTGTGTGTCTCACTCTCACTCGTGGAAGAAAAAAAGAAATAAACTTTAAAAATACCAACTTTGGAAATACTTTGCTTTAAAAATAAATTTACAGATATAAATTCAGATTTGAATCAGACTTAGTCTCCCAGTTACAGGGCTATGGGCCATGATAGTGTTTTATGTTTATTTTTATTTATATTTATTTATTTGGAGAGGTTTTTGCTATAGGGCACATGCACTCACCAGAAAGACAGAGAGAGACAGAAAGCGAGAAATCACCCCCCCAGGGGGGACGGCCACACTGCAACCCCTTCTCCCTTCTCCTCTCGAGATCTTGGGCATGCACATACATGTGCCTGGTGTGAGTTTAAGTCACCATGTCCAAGACTTAAACCGCGGTCGACTACGTGGGAGTCCAGCGACATAGCCATTACGCCAACTGCTGGTCCCACTAGTGTTTTTTAAAAGGGTGGTTTCAGGTCTTAGGAATTCAAAGCTGTATCATCATGAGAAGAATTACTGTTGAATACAGCTTCCAGAACAAAACTCAACATTTAGGTCAGGGGAACTGACTTCTGCTAAAATAATTTCCTTTTATTTATTTTAAGTCTTTTTTTCTTTTCTTTTCTTTTGTTTTTTTTTTGGAGAGGTTTTTGCTATAGGGCGCGTGCACTCACCAGAAAGACAGAGAGAGACAGAGAGACAAAAAAGCGAGAAATCCCCCCCAGGGGGATGGCCACACCGCAATGCCTTCTCCATTCTCCTCTCGGGATCTTGGGCACGCACACACATGTGCCCAGCGTGAGTCCGCAGTAGGCTACATGGGAGTCTAGCAAAATAGCCATTACGCTAACTGCTGGTCCCTATTTATTTTAAGTCTTATTAAGAGATACAGAAGTTCCTGAAGAGAAAGGGAGAAGAGAACCACTTGTGCTCCCCTCCCAGCTGAGTCAACAATCACTAGAAATGAGCAAATGGCAGTAGCAATCAGATTGAAGAAGTATCAGCTTTAGCTTCTATGACTTCCACAATTACTACCAGGGAAACCTTTAGGAGATATGAAACACTATAACCACTGTTCTCAATTTGAAATGCAAATAGTATCTAAACGTATTTCTTCAGCAGATAAAGCATCTTAACACAAAAAAAAATATTTAGAAATCATTTAGAGTAGCTTGCATCCAAAGTAAAAATTCTCACTAACCATGGCTGTAATTTAGTCACTCAGCCTCGACTTACCACTTTATTAGCAGCTTCTTTTATTGTCAGACTTCTCTAATTATTACAAAGCATGATATCTCATCAAAATCAATCTCCCTATAACTGCCACCCAATGATCCCATTTCACTACACATCTATTATGCTACAGAATTTGCAGACGGATCAAGATATTCAAGTTTGCCAATAGTAATGACATAAGTTGACTTTATTAAAAAGAATAAAAATGGGGATTCAGCAAATGATGTAATGGTTACATCACTGGACTTCCACGTAGTTGACTGTGTTTTGCGTCCCGGACCTGGTGGCTTAAAACTCACGCCAGGCGCATGTGTGTGCGTGCCCAAGATCCCGAGAACAGAATGGAGGAGAAGGGTTTGCAGCATGGCCATCTCTTCTAGGGGGTGATTTCTCACTTTTGTCTCTGTTTCTCTCTGTCTCTCTGACAAATAAACAGGCCCTATAGCAAAAATCTCTCTACCAAAAAAGAAAAAAAAAAAGAATGAAAATGCGGGGACCAGCAGTTAGCGTAATGGCTATGTCGCTGGCCTCCCACGTAGTCAACGGCGGTTCGAGTCCCAGACCCGGTGGCTTAAACTCACACTGGGCAGGTGTACATGTGTGCCCAAGATCCCGAGAGGAGAATGGAGGAGAAGGGTTTGCAGCATGGCCATCTCTTCTAGGGGGTGATTTCTCACTTTTGTCTCTGTTTCTCTCTGTCTTTCTGGCGAGTGCACACACCATATAGCAAAAACCTCTCCAAAAGAAAAAGAATGAAAATGGGGCTAGAGGGTGGGATGGTGGTTAAGGTGTTGGACTCCCACTTGGCTGACCATGGTTTTGAGTCACAGCCTGGCAGTTCGCTTTGTCCTTTCCCTCTTTCTCTCTGTCTCTCTCTAGTGAGTGCACAAGCCCTATAACAGATAAATAATAATAATAATAAATAAAATTAAATAAAGAATTAAAAACAAAAGAATTAAAATAAAAGATCTGGATTTAAATAGAGGCAGCAGCAATGACACAAAGGGATCAGGATGGACTACAGAGATAATTAGTACTAGAAACCACAAGCCTTTTCAAGTCCCTAGCAGGACATACCTTTGTCAGAGCTGCTGGTTACCTCCCTAAAGTCAACCTAAAAATTAAAGTAATTAAAAGATAAAAGAGAGAGAGAAACAGAGAATTGCTAGAGTTATCATACATGATATAGTACAACCAGAAAAACAAGATTCTTGGAGGCCTACTTATTATTTCTGAAGAACTGCTGCCATTTGATAAGGCCTTCCTTGATCATTTGCAATTTCTCACTTGTAGACTCTTCAGTTTGTTCTATCTCCTGTCTAAACTTATTCATTAAGTTTCTCCACTTTTGTGTCAACTTCTGTAACAACGCAAGGTCTGCAGTGTCCTAGATAAAAGGCATGGCATCAGACAACTTAATTATTTATTCATATAATGAACTTATTATCATATACCAGGCCATTATTAATTGCATTATAATACTAGAGATGTCCATAGAAAATAGATAAAAAAATTGAAGACATTTCTTTTTCAAAATATCATCAGTGGGGCTTCTCTACAGCTTAGTGGTTAAGGGAACTGAATCCCACATGGCCAATCACAGCTTGTATCCCTACCCTGCTGGTTTGAAAACATGCTGGGCATGTGTGTGTGCATGTCCAAAATCCTGACGGGAAGGAATAGAGTAAAAGGGATTGGGGTGTGGCCACACCCTAGTTGAGGGTGGAGGGTGCTTCTTTTCTCTCTCTTTCTCTCTGGCAAGCGTAGGCATCCTCTCCCTTCCCCATAAATAAGATTTTTTTTTCATTTGCAACATGAGCCCAGACCTTACAGGACCTCCACAGAACAGCACGATGCATTAGAATGAACAGAAACTGTGAAACCAGACAGAACCAAATGCAAATCCTAGTCATTTACTGGCTGTGTAACCTTGGCTTATTTAATTTATTTAAGATTAACTTTCATTATGCATAAAATAAAGGTCCTAATACATATCTCCCAGCACTGTTTAAAGATTTAAATGAAACTAGTGTAAATGGTTTGACTCTGTAGAAACACACTTAATACCAGTCTCCTCCTTTTCCCCCTACTATGCTCACTGAAAAATACTTAGAAAGACTCAATAATGCAGGGCCGGCAGGTGGTCCGGTAGCAAAGGCCAACTGTGGTTCAAGTCCCAGACATGGTTGGTAGCTTGGTTTCTCACTTTCCCTCTGTCTCTCTCTGGTAAGTGCACATGCCCTATAGCTAATGAAATAATAATAATAATAATAAATTAAATAATTCTTTAAAAATCTATAATGCAACTATTTCAATAAATACAGCTACTTACTTTAAGTACTATAAATGGAATTGTGACTCTGTGACTAACTCTGTAGTGTTATTAAATTTAGATAAACTGCTTAAGTTGCTTTAATTAGGATAGAAGACAAATACAAGTAAGAACCTTTACTCACTTTTCTTTAGAGTTTTCATTTTACTCACAATAAAGCACAAATACAAAACTATGAGTATTTAGAAATCTAGAAATTTAGCAGACTTTTTATAGTCAACCCTCAACACTAGGAGTCTCTTTTCCCATAAGTGAAATGAGCTTTACCTTGTTTGACAGCAATATGATGAAATGCTTAGAATAGTTAAGCCAGCCTTTTTCATTGAGGTAAAGTTTCTCAGCCAATGTAACTCTATTTCTTTCAATTACCTATAAAAATAATGTACTATATTAAGGACCCTAAAACATTAACAAACCACTGTAATTTGTTTCAGTGGACTCACATTTCAAATTCTCACATATCAATTTTTCACTGAGTCATTTTTTTGTTCATATCATTTGCTATTCAATAATTTGAATAATAAGTATACATTTTCTAAAACTGCTGAACTGGAACTAACCTGAAGTATAGGATGTAGCAGAGGTCCTCAAACAATCTGACCTCAAAATCCTTTTACATTCTTAAAAATTGCTGAGGCTTGGGCAGGTAGTGAGGTAGTTAAAGCAAGGACTCCTACATGGCTGACTGTAGTTTGAGTCCTGGGCCCAGAGGCTTGAAAATCACATGAGGAGCATGTGCAGGTGTCTCCAAAATTCTCAGAGGAGAATGGAGGAAAAGGGATTGCAGCTGGCCATTGCCCCAGGGTATGATTTCTCACATTCCCTCTCTGGTGAGTGTACATGCCCTATGGCAAAATCCTTTAAAAAAATTGTTGAGGCTCCAAAGTGTTTTTATTTATATGGATTATATCTATTGATATTAACTGTATTAGAAATTAAACTAAAATGATAAAATATGTATTTTTAATTCATGTAAACACTAATAAACCCACTGTATATTGATAAATAGCATTTTGTATTTTAAAAGTTGTATCTTTTCCAAAAAAAGAGTGAAAAGAAGGATACTTTTATAGTTTTACAAGTCTCTTAAAATAGAGGTGAATTCTCACATGCTTTGGATATCTGTTGCAATATCCCACATCATATAATTTCTAGAAAAATTGACTACATATACTCATGAAAGAATGGGAGTGAAAAAGGGAAATAACATTTAGTATGATAATGAAACTGGTTTCTGTAGTATAGTCTTTTTTCTTTTTTTTTAATTTGCCAGAGGGCACATGAACTCACTGGAGAGAGACGGAGAGAAAGAGAAAGCGAGAAATCACCACACATGGGGCAGGGTTACGCTGCAATTCCTTCTCCTCTATTTCTCTCTCTGTTTGGGATTTTGGGCATACATACACATGTGTCTGACATCTTTTTTCAAGCCACCAGGCCTGGGACTCAAGCTTCATGGTCATCCATATGGGACATAGCCACCTTAACTACCATGCCATGGGCTAGCTCAGTATACTCTTTTAATCAAACACTGGTCTAGATACTGTAGATAGAGCCATGAACAAAATAAACCAAGTCCTAGAGTCAGCAGGTAGCATAGTGGTTAAGGAACTGGACTTCCACATGGCCTACTGTGGTTTGAATCCTGGACTCAGTGGCTTAAAAATCATGTAGGGCACATGTGCGTGTATGCCCAAAATCCCAGGAGGAGAATGGAGAAGGGATTGTGGCATGGCCAACCCCACTGGGGGGTGATTTTTCACTTCCCCTCTTTCTGTCTCTATCTCTCTCTAGTGAGCACATGCACCCTATGGCAAAAATCTTAAAAAAAAAAAAGAAGAAGAAGAAGAAACCAAGTCCTTATTTTCCTGGAGTTGGCATTCTGCCATATTTGGTTGGAAAACTTTAGGCATAATCTAACACAAAGATCCATCAATGCAAGATACTCTTCTTTTTTTTTAATTTTTAAAAATTTTGTTATTATTTTTTAGTTTGACCAGAGAGAGAGAGAGAGAGAGAGAAAGTGAGAAAGCAAGCTGCCAGGTCCAGGATTCAAACCATGATCAGTCATGTTGGAGTCCAGCACCTTCACCACCACACCACTTGCTGCCCCCACAAGTACTCTTCTACAGAAACTTCAACCAGGGATCAAAAACTATGTTGATTATTCCCTTAGCAAACATCTGACTTATAGTAATAACTGAATAAAAGATAGCTGTTGCTCTTTTATAATAATATTAATTGTAGTAATTAATGTTAATCGTATTATTAAGAATACTCTGGAGCTAGCCAGATGGTACAGTGGTTAAAGCAGCTGGATCCCACTGTGCACTCAAACTGCACAGTTTGAGTCCCAGACCAGGTGGCTTCAGAGACACTCAAAGCACGTGTGCATGGGCACCCAAAATCCCAAAAGGAGAACAAAGGAAAAGGGATTGCAGCATGGCCATCCCCAATGGGGAATGCTTTCTCACTTTCTCCCTCTCTCTCTTTCCTTCTTTCTCTGGCAAGCACACACATTCTATGGAAAAAAAAAAAAAAAGAAGAATTGATATATTCATTCCAATTCACATTTCATTGTTTGGATAGGCCCATCATTTTAAAGTAATAACACTATTTGAACCTCTTAAGTTTTTAAGGACAAGAACATTGTCTTAATTATTTTTGTTTCACCAATCATTCCATGGCATAATGTCAGACACACAAAAGGTGCTCAAAGTTTGCCCCTAAAAATAAATAGACCGTAAAAAAACTAGCATATAATTAGTTTTTGTTAATTCATATATTACTAATATATAATATGTAATTGTTAAAACAAAGTCAAACAGGGGCCAGCCAGTGGCATGGTGGTTAAGGCAGTTAGATCCGACCTGGTTGACTACAAGGTACAAGTCTCCGACCAGGTAAATTAAAAACCTTGTTGGGGGGCTGGCAGGTAGTATGGTGGTTAAAGTGCTGGACTCCCACACGACTTAGCACAATTCAAGTCCTGGATGGAGAGGAGAAGAGATTATGGTATGGCAATCCCCCTAGGGGATGATTTCTAACTTTCTCTTGCTCTTTCTCTCACTTTCTTTCTCTTTCTGTCTCTTTTTCTGTCTGTCCAGCTAGTGCTCTATAGCAAAAACCTCTCCAAATAAAAACATCGCAGTGCATGTGCGTGCATACCCAAAATCCTGAGAGAAGAATGAAGAAGGAATTGTGGTGTGGTCATACCTCTTAAGGGGTGCTTTCTCACTCCCTCCACCCACCCTGCCCCCAGTCTTTCTCTGGCAAGTGCATACGCCCTGTGCAAATTAAAAAAAAAAAAAAAAAAGTCAAATACAAAAGAATTATAAATTACAAATTCAAATTTCCCACCAGTTTACTCAACCTTAAAATTAACTTGCGGGACCAGCAGTAGGTGTAATGGCTATGTCACTGGACTGAGTAGTCAACTGAGGTTTGAATCCCGTGTAGTTGACTGAAGTTTGAATCCCATGTAGTTGACCGAGGTTTGAGTCCCAGACTCGGTGGCTTAAACTCACGCCAGGCATGTGTGCGTGCATGCCCAGAATCCCGAGAGGAGGATGGAGGAAAAGGGATTGCGTGCCAGAATTAATATTTATAGATTTCAAAAAAAAAATGCCAGAAAGCATGTGTGCTCACCAGAGAGAGAGAGATACAGAGAGGTGGGAAGAAAGCACTTCTCAATCTCTTCTCTTTCATTTCTACATTCTATCAGAGAGCAATCACTGTTATTGGTCTGGTGTTTCATCATTCAAAATTTTGTGTGCGTGTATATGTATAAAGTACACATAGTTTTATTTTGTTTTTAAAGAATTATTTTATTTAACTTTATTTATGTATTTAATTAATTAATTTAAATTTTACCAGAAAGAGACAGAGTGAGAGAGAGAAAGAAAGTGAGAAAGCAAGCCGCAAGGTCAAGGACTCAAACCACAGTCGGCCATGAGGGAGTCTAGTGCCCTTAACCACACCACCAGCCAGCCCCATAACTATACATAGTTTTAATACACTTGTAATCATTTTAAGTGAATGTTTATAACCTTAATTTTTTTTATGATAGTGCACACATGCACACAGCAGAGAGAGACAGAAACCACTCTCGGCACAGTCTTGTCACGCCCCAATCCCCCTTCCCCAGTCCTTCATGCTGAGTGCCCACATGTATGCTCAGTACATTTTCAAGTCAACCTGGGATCTAAACTCATAGATGGCAATATGGCTTCTAGTTTTACAGGACACATGTGTTAAAACTGCACCACAGTGGCTGGGCCTATATATATATATATTTTTTTTGGTAATATATTATTTGAAAATTCTCTCATTTATTATAGCCACTTTTCCATATACATCCATGTCAGCAACATTCTTTTAGATGATTACTTAAAATTGTACTGTTTGGATAACTATAATTTATTTTCCTACTGATAAATATTTAGGGTTTTAGGGATTTTTTTTTTTATTCATAAGTGATGCTAAAATGAATATCCGTATCCTTATTCACTGAGACTAGTATTGCCCAAGAATGTATATTCAAAGGGGGGGTTGCATTCAAAATACTATTATCACCTATAAAATTCTTTAGAAGGAGAACCAGCAGACAACGTAAAGGTTATTTCACTGGACTCTCACATAGTAGACACAGTTAGAGTCCCAGACCCATTGGCTTAAAACTCACACCAGGCACATGTGCATGTGAGCTCAAAATCCTGAGAGGAGAATGGAGGAGAAGGGATTATAGCATGGCCATCCCACTTGAAGGGTGCTTTCTTGCTTTCTGTCTCTCTCTCTCTGTCTCTCCAGCAAGTGTACATGCCCTATAGAAAAAATCTCTTAAAAAAAAACTCTAAAAGTTTCTATCAATTTATATTTTATATTTTTATCACTAGCACATGAAAGTGTCCATGTTTATCACAAGTTTAAAGTTTGCTAATCTGTTAAACTACAAATGATAACTTATTATTCTTTATTTTCCACTTTACTGGTTATTGGTGAAGTTGAACATATTTTCATATATTTGCAGTTTAGCTATTTGAATTTCATACTTTGAGTTATTTATTCATATTCTGTGCTCATTGTTTTAGTGAATTATTTTTAAAATTTGTTAGTACACTTCAGTAATATTAAATGTATCTTAAAGTATAGTTTTTCTCAGACTGGTATGTAGTTTTATTTCAGATGTATCACACCACATGGGAGTTTTTAGTTTTAAGGTTTCATATCATGTTTAAAAGGGATTCCTCATGGAGCTAGCAGGTGGTGTGGTGATTAAGGTGTTAAGACTCCCACATGGGCGACCATGGTTCAAGTCCCAGACCAGGTAGCTTACTTTCTTCTCTCTCTCTCTCTCTCTCTGATGAATTACAAGGTAATAATAAGGGGCCAGCAGATGGCATAATGGTTACGTTGCTGGACTCCCAGATTGTTGAACCGCAGCTCGAGTCCCAGACCCGGTGGCTTAAAACTCACGCCGGGTGCGTGTGCGTGCGTGCCCAAGATCCCAAGAGGAGAATGGAGGAGAAGGGATTGCGGCGTGGCCATCCCCCCTGGGGGGTGATTTCTCGCTTTCTGTCTCTCTGTCTCTCTCTGGCGAGCACACGCATCCTGTAGCAAAAATCTCTCTCTAAAAAAATTCATTAAAAAAGAAGCTCATAATTTGCTATTAATACTTATAAGTCCCAGAGGTCAGAAAAGGCCACCAACAAGTAAATATTTCAGAAATATAGGATAGCGTAAGACTCTACTATTTCCCTAAAGCATTACTATAATGATCCACCAGATGCCATATTTTAATTCAGTCATCATCTGAACAAGGTAACAGAACAAGACTGCTGTGATAATCAGTGATCCTAGCATGGTTATATGAAAAAATGAAGAACCATTTTGAAAAATGGTTATATGAAAAAATAAGAACCATTTTGTCGTGCTTACTACTAATAAAAATTAAAGTTAAAAATTTTAACATGTTCCCAAACAACAAAAAAAGAATTCTTATTCCCACTTCATAGGTACTGGTGGGAAAAAAAAAAAAGAGCCCTCAATTATGCAATAGCTAGGTACCCAACAGAGAAAAGAAATAAATAAAAATTTAATGTTCCCCTTTCAAGACCCACAAATGCTACATTATTCATCAATACATATACACAGTCTTTTAAAATTTTTGTCCGGATTACTGAAAATTGTTAAACTTTATGAAGAAAAATAAAAAAAACAAAAGTCTGAGTTGTGACTCCAGATGAACCAACCTTTCGGGCCAATTTGTATGTGGCTGAGCTCCAGATATCTCTTTCTGCTATTAACTGTCTAATATCATTCTCCATCCTTCCTCTTTGTAATGTATATAAGTCATGGTATTCTTCCACAATTCTGAAAGAAAAATAAGAAACAGCTATATAGACAAAAAAAAATTTAAGGTGTATCAAACACTGTTTTGAAAGTAAAGCTGAGACAACAATGTCAGTACAGAGACACTGAAAGAAACAATTCATTCTAACAATCAATGTACCAGGAAACAACTATGATGTCCCTAAACAATACAGCCTAGAGAAATATAAAGAAAAAGCTGACAACAACACAGACAAATGGAAAAACCCATATGCACCTTACACTCACCCTCCACCACCTACTCTCTGCCGTTTTCCCCATTTACAATGTTTAGCATTTACACACATCCCTCCACCATCACATTTCCATCTCTGCCATAGCACTCTACAAATTAAGTGGGGATATATAATATGTATCTTTCATGGTCTGACTCATTTCACTCAACATTAACTCTTCTATATTCATCCTTTCTTTTTTCTTTTCTTTTCTTTTTCTTTTTTTTTGAGAGGTTTTTGCTATAGGGTGCGTGCGCTCGCCAGACAGAGAGAGACAGAGAGACAGAAAGCGAGAAATCACCCCCCAGGGGGCATGGCCACACCGCAATCCCTTCTCCTCCTTTTTCCTCTTGGGATCTTGGGCACGCACACACACGCGCCCGGCGTGAGTTTTACGCCACCGGGCCCGGGATGCGAACCACGGTCGACTACGTGGGAGTCCAGCGACATAGCCATTACGTTAACTGCTGGTCCCAATTTTTAATCTTACTTTCCTTTTTTGTTTGTTTGTTTAATTGCTAGATGGTATGTGCACTCACTAGAGAGAGAGAGAGAGACAGCGAAAGAGAGAAAGAGGAAGGAGAATGTACCCCATAATGGGATGTAGTCATACTTTAATCCCGTTCCTCCATTCCTCCACATCATCAGAATTGGAGCCACTTACAGGCACATGCTCAGTGTGTCTCTAAAGCTGCCCTGGCAACTATGGTTGACCATGTGAGATCTGGCATTCTTAACCACTAGGTCATAGGACCAGCCCATACTTTTATTTACATATATGTGTGTGTGTGTGTGTGTGTGTGTGTGTGTGTGTGTGTTAACTTACTTAATTTTATTTATTATTTTTATTCTTTAATTTGACCAGAGAGTGAGAAAGCAAGCCACCAGGTCCAGGGCTCAAACTGTGGTTAGCCATATGTGAGTCCAGCACCTTAATCACCATGCCGCCCACCAGTCCCTTCTTTAAACTTTTTAAAAATAGATTTTACTGTTTATATTTGAGGTTTACAAAATGTTTTTAATTTTTAATTTCGTTATGTTTAAATTTATTATTATTATTATTATTGTTGTTGTTTTAATTTGACCAGAGAACGACAGAGAGACAGAAAGAGAAAAAGCAAGCTGTCAGGTCCGAGACTTGAACTGTAGTCAGCTACGTGGGAGTCCAGTGTCTTTAACCACCATGCCACCTGTTGGTCCCTACAAAATGTCTTTAATACAGAGGTAAATACAGCTACATACAGATTAGGATATGTATAATCTCACATTGTTACTTTTCATTTGTGTGAAGAGAACCTAAAATCTATTCCATAAAAATTGTTACCTATTTTTTAATCTATGTTCTTTTATAAGCAAAAAATTCAAAAAATGGTTGAAAAAAATAGAAACAATTTTTGAGACAATGTCAATAAATAAAGCTCTTGGGAGCCAGACAGTGGTAATAGCAGTAAAATGTAACACTCTGCAAGGCTGACTCACAAAGGAGAGTTCTGGGTTCATGTCCAGAAACTTCCCTGAGTACACCAGGCACACTTGTGCCATAATCCAGGGCTGGCTAAAGATGGGTATGGATCAAGGTATCAAGGTCTGTTGGGGATGCTGTCTTTCTGTCTCCCTTTTTCTCTCATTCTTGGGAGAAATAAATAAATTAACTGAAATAAATAAAACTTTACTGGAACACAGCCATGACCACATATTGTCCTTGGCTGCTTTTAAGCTATAAAAATAGCACAGATTACAAAGGCAGTCTTGAGTACTTGCATCAGAAACCACATCTTGCTATACGGCCCTTTACAAAAAAAACCTTTGTAACCCCTAAAGTAGAATAAAAATATAAGACCGTAGTAGATTATCTAAAATCTAAAAAAGGACTAAACTCAATTACATCACTAATTAAGAAAATACAAACGAAAACTAAATACCTTTTCGCACCCAGCAAATCGATTAAAGATATAGACAAAAGAGCTCTCATAAGCTTTAGCTATTTAATTTAATACTATAAAGCAGTAAAAATACATTTATTTGTCCTATATGCATCCTAATGAACAGTCTCAAGTACTGTTCATTGGTAAAAATTGGTAAAAAGCAGATTTTTAAAATAAATGAAACTATATTAGTGTTTGACAGATAACTGTATAGTAAAATATAAAAGAATGAACAGAATATTATATATCAACTGCTGACCAGTGGTGATTAACTCCAGACAGGATAGAAGAATGGAGATATATATTTTTTCTTTCTTTCTTTTTTAAACTTAAAAAAAAAATTTTAAGGTTTTGGCTATAGGGTGTACGCACTCATCAGAGAGACAGAGAGTGACAGTGAAAAGGAAAGTCAAAGTCACTCCCAAGGGGGATGGCCATGCTGCAATCCTTTCTCTTCCATTCTCCTCTTGGGATTTTGGGTATATACCCACATGTGCCCTTCATGAATTTCCTCTCAGGTTACCAGATCCAGGACTCAAATTGAAGTCAGCCATGTGGGAGTCCAGCGCCTTAACCACTATGCCATTTGCTGGCCCCAAAACATCAAATATTTCTATAAAATCTTGTTCCCTTAAAAAAAGGGCACGAAGGGGGAACCGGCAGTTAGCGTAATGGCTATGTCACTAGACTTCTACGTAGTCAACAGCGGTTCGGGTCCCGGACCCGGTGGCTTAAAACTCACGCCGGGCATGTGTGCGTGCGTGCCCAAGATCCCGAGAGAAGAATGGAGGAGAAGGGATTGCGGCGTGGCCAACTCCCCTGGGGGGTGATTTCTCGCTTTCTGTCTCTATGTCCCCCTGCCTGTCTTGCGAGCGCATGCACCCTATAGTGAAAGCCTCTCCAAAAAAAAAAAAAAGGGCATGAAGCAGGGTAGTGTAGTGGTTAAGGTACTGGACTCCCAAAAGGCTGACCACAGTTTGAGTCCCGGACCTAGTGGCTTGCAATTCACTCCTGAAGCATGTGTGGGCAAGCCCAAAATCCCAAGAGAAGAATGGAGGAAAAGGGATTGTGGTGTGTCCGTCCCCCCCTTGGGAGTGATTTCTTGCTTTCTCTCTCTGTTTCTGTGTTTCTAGCAAACACATGTACCCTAGAGCAAAAACCTCTCCAAAAAAAGGGTATGAAGCAAGTATGACATATATTGGCTAATTTGGTAATTCAGGATGGAGGGTACATGAGTGTTCATTATCATGCTTTCTTTTTCTGAACTTTGAAATATTTCTTGACATTAAGTTTCATAAAAAGGAACTAATAAGTGCTTACTTACATTAGCTCCATTAATCTTCATTAATGGAAAAAGAAAAAAAAAAAAGGAAAGAAAGAAAGTAGCAGCTTTGGGGCCAGCAGGTGGTACGGTGGTTAAGGCACTGGCTGACCATGGTTTCAGTCCTAGACCCGGTGGCTTGCTGTCTCACTCTCTCTCTCTCTGGTCTCTTAAAAATTTAAAAACAAAGGAAAGTAGTAGCCTGCAAATCTCATATAACAACCAATGCTGAAATCAACAACCTGTCTCTGAGAGAAAGATCATGTTTTATTTTTCTTTTTCTCACTTTTTTTTTTTTTTTTTCTGAGAGGTTTTTGCTATAGGGCATAGGCGCTTGCCAAAAAGGCAGAGAGGGACAGAGAGACAGAAAGCAAGAAATTATCCCTCAGGGGGATGGCCATGCTGCAATCCCTTCTCCTCCATTCTCCTCTCAGGATCTTAAGCACACACGCACACGCGCCCAATGTGAGTTTAAGCCACCGGGTGTGGGACTCAAACCACAGTCAACTACATGGGAGTCCAGCAACATAGCCATTACGCCAACTGATGGTCCCTTATTTTTCTTTCTCTCAGAAAAAGAAATTAACTATTGGGTTGTCAGAAAAGTCATGACATATTTTTTCTATGGAAAATTTTTTCTATGCAAAAATACATCATGACTTCTCTGACAACCTAATAAATTCAGATAAGGTAAGCTATATGTGTTTTTAGAATTCAGAAAGTTAGTATCATATACATCATTTCAGAAGCTATATGAGCTTCTCCTCTTCCCCTTATGTAAGCTATACAACTTAAGCAACTCACTTGGCATTCTTTTCAGCATCTAAAAGAGCTTGTGCCAAATCCTTATGAGCCTTCTCTGCTTCCTTTGTTAATTTTACATCATGAGCCCGAACCAGACACAGTTCCCTGAAATAAAGGAAAGAAATTTTAAACATATAGTTGAAAAGTTTCCTCCCAGGAAATCAAATTTATACTCAGGCATCTTTTCTGTTATCATGTATACCTCCTGTCCTAGTTTTTACCTTAGAAACAAATCAAGATATCTAGTGTACATTCTAGATGTAATTTTTTTTTAAAAGAGAGATTTTTGCTATAGGGCATGTGTGCTCACTGGAGAGACAGAGACAGACAGAGAGAAAGTGAGAAATCAGCTCCCAAAATGTATGGCCATACCACAATGCCTTCTCCATTCTCTTGGGATTCTGGACACACATGCATGCACCCATGCCCAGCATGAGTTTTAAGCCACCAGATCTGGGACTCAAACCATAGTTAACTATGTGGGAGTCCAGCAACATAACCATTACATCATCTGCTGGTCCTTTTAGATGTAATCTTGACAGGTTTGGAGATGACAAGAAAAGGCAGAAAGAAGGTGTGGAAGGATCTTTACAAATGGAGCAGAAGCAAATGTGGACAGCAAGGCTGCTCTGCTATTCCACCCTGTTCTCTGGCACGCCTCTTGATTCTTGCCAATACTCATCTTACCACAGGTTAGGTGATTTCCCATCTTGATTGCTATTAGTGTTTACTCTCTTTGGGATTTGAACCTTAACAACCATTGTGCTGCTCTATAAACCTGGTAAATATGAACATCCGTATCTTGGAAGGAGTTGTATGCTAACCTGCGTAACCTGTCTTTCTACATCTGAATCTCTGAATCTACAACTATATCCAATTCTTTCTGTTCTCTTGCTAGACATGAAAAGAAGATGAAAGAATCTTCAAATTTAATCACTCTATTCTTCCTGAACTTTTTTTTTTAAGAGAGATTTTTTTCTTTCTTTTTTTTTTTTTTGGAGAGGTTTTCGCTATAGGGCACAGGCACTTGCCAGACAGACAGAGAGAGACATAGAGACAGAAAGCGAGAAATCACCCCCCAGGGGGGATGGTCACACCGCAATCCCTTCTCCTCCATTCTCCTCTCGGGATCTTGGGCACGCACGCACACGCACCCGGCGTGAGTTTTAAGCCACCAGGTCCGGGACGCAAACTGCAGTCAACTAAGTGGGAATCCAGTGACATAGCCATTACGCTAACTGCTGGTTCCCCACATTTTTAACTCTCTTTAGAGACATGGCTTTGACTTTAGTTTTGTGTTTAAGATAATCACAGTTTTTACCTGGTCAGTTCCTCAATAACATTCTTGAAATTATACAGTTCTTCTAAAATGCGCTGGTCCATCACTCGCTGAGTGACCAAGTCTTTATAGAAGTCAATCATCTGTCGGGCAGTCTGATCAAGCATTTGTACATATCTCTCTCTGCATGAGAAAGAAGGGAAACAAGACATCATACAAAAGGAAAGAGAAAAGGAGCTGGAAAATATGCCAGGGAGAAAGGAATGTTAGGGGGAAAACTAGTAAACAGACATTCACAAAAGAAAGGAATCTAGGCATTTTCCTGCCATGCTCATAAAAGTGCCTAAACAATTGTGGAGAATTAGAATCAGAGCCATAATTATTTAGAACATAATATCTGAGATATAAAACAAAACTAAGGACTTATTTCTTCTAGATTATAAATTCTCTGAGGATAAGAATGATGTCTTACCTGTTTGTATCTTTTTTTTTTTTTTTTTTTGAGAGAGCTTTTTGCTATAGGGCATGTGCACTCACCGGAGGGACAGAGAGAAATAGAGAAAGAGAAAGCAAGAAACCACCCCCTAGAGGGGATGGCCATGCTGTAATCCCTTCTCCAATCTCCTCTCAGGATTCAGGGCATGCGCGCACACACGCCCAGTGTGAGTTTTAAGCCACCAGGTCCAGGAATCAAACCTCGGTCGACTAAGTGGGAGTCAAGCAACATAACTATTATGCCATCGGCTGATCCCCATATTTGTATCTTTACCCCTAACGGGGTGCCTCAAACATAGTGAGATTTTTCATACGTTGTTAAATTCAACTTTTCTCAAATTGACTAAATATAAAAAGATACAAACTATTTAAAAATAAACATCTTTAAAATAAATAAGTCATTTCTTTTGCTTCTGAACACAACAAACAAGATATTTGGAGATGATCATAAATGATAAATTCCAAATTTCACCACTGAGCAGTCTTTATTTATATTAAAAGTGTCTAGTCATTTTACTCTAAGCCTGAGGTCCTAGATTATAGTATATGTGAGTCAGACTCCACATTTAGTCTAATCTCTAACCCACTAACCCAGAAAGAATTAATATCTCTGGCTTAAACACTTAAAGTATCAGAAAGTTTATCAGTTCAATATGTAGTTTATACACTGAAAAGTATCAACTTAAACATTTTCTTGGGCTAGCAGGTGGCATGGTAATTAAGGCATTAGATTCCCACAGGGTCGATCATGGTTTAAGTCTCTAACCCAGTAGGCTTGAAAAAAATCACACCAGGTACATGTGTGTGCATGCCCAAAATCCCAAAAGAAGAATGGCGAAGGCACTGTGGCATGAACATCCCTCCCTGGAGGGTGATTTCTTCCTTTCTCTTCCTCTCTCTTTCTCTGGTAAGTGCATGCACCCTGTGGCAAAAAACATTAAAAAAAAAAAAAAAAAAGAAAAAAAACACCTTTTAGGACCTTTTCTGGAAATACAGGGACTAGATACTCTGAAGGGCCTTCTCGTTATAATACAACTGATGTCTTATTATAATACAACTAAGTAAGAGAACATATTTTTCAAAGTATTACCTGGCTTTCAGGAAAAAAAAATAAGTCTCTAGGGATGGAAAACAAAAAGAATAAACACACCAAAACAGTAAGCTGAAAATGGAGTGAGAGTTGTATTAATAATATCTAGTAAGCAAATCCAAGGTCAAGGTTGTTCCCAGGAAAAACAACCACACTAGGACTTAGAGACTAAGCCTTGGGCCACTTCAGAGTCAGGAACCAAGACAAAAATAGGACGACTACACGAAGCCTGGATTCCAAAAGGAAGCAAATGCAAATTCTCTCTCTTAAGAAAATATCCTTGGGACCAGCAGTTAGCGTAATAGCTATGTCGCTGGACTCCCACGTAGTCGATTGTGGTCCACGTCCCGGACCCGGTGGCTTAAACTCACACCGGGTGCATGTGCGTGTGTGCCCAAGATCCTGAGAGGAGAATGGAGGAGAAGGGACTGCAGCTTGGCCATCCCCTCTGGGGGGTGATTTCTCGCTTTCTGTCTCTCTGTCTCTCTCTGTCTGTCTGGCGAGTGCACGTGCCCTATGGGGAAAAAAAAAAAAAAAAACTCTCCAAAAAAGAAATAAAGAAATAAATAAAAAAGAAAATATCCCTGATTTGTGACCTGAGGATTCCATGGTTAACATCAGCCAAATATTAGCTCCACAAAAAAAGATTACAAACTACTAATGTAAATAAACCATCATTATGAATGAGACTCAGAAGAAACAACAAACGGCAGATTTAGGTACTAAAAAGTTTTCATATAATGATCAGAATTGCAATATAAGACCATGCATAATATCCCTCAAAAATAAAAGATGGGACCTAAAAATGAACAAGCAACAACAATTACCATGTATGATAACACAGACATGAAGATAAAGAATTCTTAGAGGAAAAATTGTTGAATTAACAATAGATGGGTTCCAGCAGAACAGACACAGCTAAGAATGTAGAAACGTCCTAGAAAAAATTACTCAAGAGTACAACGCAGAGATAAGGAGATGGAATAACAGGAAAGATTAAGAGACAAAGAGGATAGAGTGAGAATGTCTAATATAAATCTAATCAAAGTTCCAGAAAGAGAAGTGGAGAAGAGACATCAATCAGAGATTACCTCTGATAATTTTCCAAAATTTACAAATGATTAATCAGCAATACTGGCATAGATATAAGTATAGGAAACATAAAAAGAAATCTAGAGTTTAATTTATTCTCCTGCCTGAAATAACAATAACAAAAGAACATTTTTGAAACACTTCCTTAGCATTAGGAAATGAAAGGAAGTAATCCTTAAGAAACCAGAAATAAATAGGATGAGCCCTACGATTGTCCCAGCTTAGTGCCTTGGAAAAGTTTCTAGGTCATAGCACAAGGACGGGGAATTCAATAAGATCCAGCAGACTCCTGAGTTAAGGAGACAGATCTAAGAGTCTAAAAAGATGAAAGCAGAAGGCGTTCAGAGGGAAGAATACACAAGACAAAAGAGTTGCACAGGATCTGCAGAAGGTCCCCCTTAAATGTTCACCTAAGCACTATCGGAGCATAAATTTGAGGAAACTACCTAAAGCCTGGGAAAGAACTACCTCGGAGGTAAGAGTACCCAGCTCTCATACATGACCAGAGGTAGTGCCTACTCAGACCAACCAGACTAGAAACACGAGTGATTCATGGGGCATTGGATACACAAGTCTTGCCTCAGTAGTTAGAAATAATTAGTCCTAAACTGAGCACCAGTCTAGTCCCAGCAAAGACCTAAAAGTATTAACTTGTTTTCAAATAACTTATTGTACCTCCGAAAAAAGCCAAAGAATACTTTAAAAGGGACCAGCAGATGGCATAATGGCTATGTCTCTGGACTCTCAAGTAGTCGACCATGGTTCAAGTCCTGGACCTGGTGGCTTAAACTCATGTTGGGAGCGTGTGCATGTGTGCCCAATATCCCCAAGAGAAGAATGGAGGAGAAGGGATTGCGGCTTGGTCATCCCCCCTGGGTGGGGATTTCTCTCTGTCTTTTTGGCAAGCACATGTGCCCTATAGCAAACACCTCTTAAAAAAAAAAAAATTGTAAGAAAACAATATATACACAGTATCACAAGACCATGTGGTGGTACAGTGGTAATGCAGCTAGACCCACAGGTGAAAGGCCCTGGGTTCACTCCTGAGGGCTCCCTGTGTATATGAGGCATGTGTGTATGCTTATAATTCAGACCAGCTGAGACTGGGAATGAATTATGGCATGAAGACCTATAGCAAAAATCTCTCTTAAAAAAAAAAAAAAAAGAGAAGTCAAAAGGGGGCCAGCAGGTGGTATGGGGGTTAAGGCACTGGATCTCACATGGCCAACTATACAGTTCAAGTCCTAAACCTGGTGGCTTGAAAAACATGCTCAATGAGTATGCATGCTCACCAGAAATTCTAAGAAGGGAATGGAAGAGAAAGGATTGTAGGCCATGTTATCCCCCGGGGGTGATTTCTCACTTTCCCTCTTTCTCTGTCTCTCTTATGAGTGCACACACACCCTACAGCAAATATCTTTAAAAAATAAAAAAGTAGTAAAAAGGTTTGAATAGATATTCATACATACATACACACACACACACACACACACACACACACAAATATGGCCAATTAACTCATGAAAAAATATTCAGAATCACACCAGCAGGTGGCATGATGGTTAAGGATCCCACATGGCCAACTCCGAAGTTAGGAGTCCCAGACCCAGTGGCTTGAAAAACACACCAGGAGCACATGTGCATACCCAGAATCACAAGAGGAGACCAGAGGAGAAGGGTTCCAGTGCAGTCAGTCCCCCTGGGGGGTGATCTCTCACTTTCGCTCTCTGTCTCTCTCCAATGCACACACTCTATAGAAAAAAAAAAAAAGTTAAAAAAAAAAATTCAACATCATTAATTGGCAGGGATTTCCTGTAATGTTAGTTAAAACTCTAACGAAATACTAGAGCACACTGATTAGAGTATCTAAAATTAAAGACTTACAATACCATATGCTGGCAAAAATGTAGAACAATTAGAGCTCTCATACATTGTTAGCGGGAAAAAGTAATGGTATAACCACTTTGGGAAAATGTATGACAATTTCTTATAAAAATAAACTTACACCTACCCTGGGAACCAGCAGTCCCACTCCTAGGTAGTAACTCAAGAACATATTTTCATGGAAAGACTCATACAAGAACATTTGTGGTAGCCTTATCTATAATAGTCTAAAGCGGAGCTGGCAGGTGGCATGGTGATAAAGGTTCTGGACTCCCACATGGCTGACCGCGGTTCAAGTCCTGGACCTGGTGGCTTCCTTTCTCACTTTCCCTCTCTCTCTTTCTCTGTCTCTCTCATCAAACTGGAAAATAATAATAAAGTTAAATAAAATAATAGTTTAGAATTTTAAAAAAGTCTAAAGCTAGAAACAATTCAGTGTCCACCAAAAGGCAAATAAATAGCTCTTCTCCTTAGCGGCCCGAGGTGATCTTTAAAAATGGTTCACTATTCACTTGACCCAGAGAACCCCACAAAGTCATGCAAGTCAAGAGGTTCAAGTCTTCGTGTTCACTTTAAGAACACTCATGAAACTGCTCAGGCCATCAAGAGTATGCATATCCGAAAAGTGACCAAGTATCTGAAGGATGTCACTTTACAGAAGCAGTGTGTGCCATTCCGTCGTTACAATGGCGGTGTTGGTAGATGTGCCCAGGCTAAACAGTGGGGCTGGACACAAGGTCGGTGGCCCAAAAAGAGTGCTGAGTTTTTGCTGTACATGCTTAAAAATGCAGAGAGTAATGCTGAACTTAAGGGGTTAGATGTGGATTCTCTGGTCATTGAGCACATTCAGGTGAATAAGGCACCAAAGATGCGCCGTCGTACTTACAGAGCTCATGGACGGGTTAATCCACACGAGCTCCCCCTGCCACATCGAGATGATCCTCACTGAAAAGGAGCAAATTGTTCCTAAACCGGAAGAGGAAGTTGCACAAAAGAAAAAGATATCCCAGAAGAAACTGAAGAAACAAAAACTTATGGCATGGGAATAAAGTCAGCATAAAATAAATGTAGATAAAAGTAAAAAAAAAAAAAAAAAGGCAAATAAATAGACAAACTGGTTTTTGTACCATTCATACAATGGAATACATACCACTTGGCAATACAAAAGAATAAGGCACCAATACGCACAACAGTGTGGATGCATCTCAAAAATATTATGTTGCTAGCCGACCACAATTCAAGTTCCAGACCCAGTGGCTTAAACTCACACTGGACAAGATCCCAAGAGGAGAATGGAGGAGAAGGGATTGTGGTGTGGCAATCCCCCTTGGGGGAAGTAACTTCTCACTTTCTGCCTCTCTGTCTCTCTCTGGCTTTCTGAAGAGCACACGAGCCCAATGGCAAAAACCTCTCCAAAAAAAAATTATGTTGCATGAAAGAAATTCTATGATATACAAGGGGTTTTCAAAAAGCTCATGGAGGGATGGAGGGATCATTAGATGGTGTAATGATTATGTTGCTTCGACTCCTTTGTAGTTGACTGTGATTCAAATCCTGGACTTAGCGGCTTAACACTCATGCCGGGTACATGTGCAAGCATGCCCAAAATACTGAGAGGAGAATTGAGAAGGGATTTTTGTGTGGCCATCCACCCTGGAGAATGATTTCTCTCTTTCTGTCTCTCTAATTGAGCACATACTCCCTATAGCAAAAATCTCTCTCTAAAAAAAAAAATATATATGTGTATATATATATACACATACATATACACACATATATATATAAGCTTTTCTCAGAGGATTATGGCTATGATTTGCCTGCTTATGATTGTTGTTTAAATAGCCTCGGATAAGACCTCACTCTATTTTGATCCCTAGAATCTAACTCTTGAAACCAACTGTTAGTCCTTTCCACAACTACCCCTCATAAGGGGAAGGTTTGTATACATTATTGGCCATCTAATTCTTTTGCCTTGTTTCCTCATATGTCCTTCCTGGCTTTGTTCTTAGACTGACAGCTCAGACCCGAGCTTTTCGGGTCTTCATTCTGATCCGGCACTCTCCGTCTCTTGATGGCATTCCATTTATTCCTCTGTATCCAATCTTAACCAGTCTCTTATTAATGGCTTTGCTCCTTGTTTCTCAGCACAGCTACACAGAGGGAACTCAGCTTCAACAAATCAGGCACTGGACAAATAGGGCACGTTGTTACAACCAGGGAGGACTTCAAAAAGTTAATGGAAAATCTAATCATAACACAAGTTTGTTTTGGTGTGAAAAAAATTGAAATCCGTGCATAGTTTTATTCAGAATACATGTTTTCATTAATTCTCTGAAGACTCCCTCATATTAATTCCCATTTAGAAGATACTGATATTCAGAGAGATCTAATAGTTCCATGGCAAGTGGGCTGCAGATTATATAGCTATATAATTTGAGCCCAAGTATTTTGACTCTACTATTCCTTATAGCTTTCTAGAAAGTACCATAATTACAAGAATTATAGTAACAATAATATTTATCATCATAGATAATAATTATATTTGCTGAGTATTTACTTGTGTGTTCTCATTTAAACCTCACCACAACCAAATGAAACATCTCAATACTTGGCACAGAGTAGAGAATAAATATCACTGATTTGTGATCAGTGAACAAACAGACACATGGACACTTTCACAGTAGCTATTATCTTCATTTATAGATGAGAAAACTACGAAGTTTACTAAGCTCACATATCTACATAAAGATTTGAAGCCAGATTAGTCTGACTCCAGAGCCTATATTTTTTCACTATTTCACATAGCACTTCGCTTCAAGTCATAAAAGAATATGGTGTCAAACATCAGCTTAAGGAAGTTCTCAGCTACTGTATTTTTACTATAGAGAATAAAATTAAAATGCATTTATATTCTTTATTATCAGTAGAACAGAGAAGCATACTTTTGCGGCTTTCTCAGAAGTAGATATAAAAGCAATTCTAAGATAGAACTTAAAAGGAAAGTAGGCTATTCCAATAATAGCTCTAACCTGATTTTGGAAAGCAGCTCTCCTCTATCCACACAGTCCACACTAACTTGTCGAATAAGTTCATGAAATACTGTATTGTAAATAGTCTGTTCTTTCTTCAATATATGTAGTAGTTTGTGCATCTAACAGAAGAAAAGATAATTCATAATTATTATAGTCTTTAAAAACCATTTTAGGAAGTGAGCAATCTGCATGTGAATTAGTTTTAGAAATACCTTGATTAACTTGTTTCACTTACATTTGCATATACATGTATATGTATTTGTGTGTGTGTATATGTATATATATATATTACAGAAGTAATGTGTGACTTTAAAATCTAATTGTAAGCCAATTTGTGTGATGCACTAAGAAGTTCACAGTATCAATTTATGTTATACCTGTCAAAAATACAAAACCTGAATCTAATTATAGGTATACAGCAGAAACAACAAAATTGAGGAACATTCTATAGAATAACTAGCCTGTGTTCTTCAAAATATCAAGCTCAAAACAAAACAAAAGAAAAAACAAAGGCTGTTTCAGAGTAAAGTTGTCTAAGATAACACGACAACTAAAAGTATCATATGACACTGGGAATTTGGAATAGTGGGGAAAACTAGCTATAAAAGCCATTATAGAGACAATTGATGAAATACAAAATTTGAATGTGGATTTGGACTTTGTTAGACAATACTATCATATCAATGTTAAATATTCTGATATTGATAACTAGATTAAGGATACATAAGAGAACGGCCTTGTATGTAGGAAATGCAGATGACTCTTGAATAATGTAAGGGTTGTGATACCAATTCCATGTGGCCAAAAATCTGTGTAACTTTTTTTTACTAATAATTTGTCAGAGGGCACATGTGCTTGCCTACTATTGGGTCATTGGAAAAGTCATGAACCATTTCTGCATAGAGAAACATAGAAAAAAAATCATGGCTTTTCTGGAGGCCCAATAATAGCCACTATTAACCAGAAGTCTTACTGATAATATAAGCAGTTGACTAACACAATTCTGTATATTATATGTATTATATATTGTATTCTTACAATAGAATAAGCTAAAAATGTTATTTAAAAAAACATAAAGAAGAAAAAATATACTTAAGTACTGTACTGTACTGTATTTATCAATATCAAGAATGCATGTCATCAATTTACAAGATCTGTCTGTTTAAACCCGCTATAGTATATTCTTGAGTATATTCTCCTAAAATTCATGTGTTGAGCATTGTAACAGGATTGAGAGGTGAAAACTTGATTCAATTATGGTATCAAAAGGTGAGACCTTTGGGAAGAGATTACAATTAAGGTCTTTAGGGCAAGGCCTCCATGATGAATTCTGGTGGGATTACAGGGAAAGGAAATGAGACAGACCACATTCTGCTCTGCTCAAGCTTCTGACCTTCACCACATTATGACAGAGCTGGCCTAATGACAGTTCCATTCCTTTGGACTTCCCTGCTACCAGAATCATAATCCCAATAAGACTCTATTGTTTATATATCACCCAGCCTCGGACATTTCTGTTAGCAACATAACAGACTGAAACAGTACCTATGTCAACACTGTCTAATATGGCAGTGGTCCCCCATCTCTTTTGGCACTAGAGACTGGTTTCATGGAAGACAATTTTTCTATGGAGCAGGGTGGGAGGGATGGTTTGGGGATGATTAAAGCACATTACATTGGGACAAGCAGATGGCATAATGGTTATGTCATTTGACTCCCACATAGTTGACTGTGGTTTGAATCCCTGACCTGGCGGCTTCAGATTCACACCAGGTGTGTGTGTGTGCATGCCCAAGATCCTGAGTGGAGAATGGAGGAGAAAGGATTGTGGTATGGCCATCCTCCGTGGAAAGAGATTTCTCACTTCCTGTCTCTCTCTGTCTCACCAGTGAATGCATACACCCTATAGCAAAAATCTCTCTCTAAAAAAAAAAGTACATTAGGGGCCAGCAGTTAGCATAATGACTATGTTGCTGGACTCCCTCGCAGTCAACCATGGTTCAAGTCCCAGACCAGTGGCTTAAAACTCACACTGGGCGTGTGTGCGTGTGTGCCCAAGATCCCGAGAGGAGAATGGAGGAGAAGGGATTGCGGTGTGGCTATCCCCCCTGGGGGGTGATTTCTCGCTTTCTATCTCTCTGTCTCTCTCTGTCTGGCGAGCCTATGTGCCCTATAGCAAAAACCTCTCAAAAAAAAAAAAAAGCACATTACATTTATTGTGCACTTTATTTATATTATCGCAGTATAATAAATAATGAAATAATTATACAACTCACTAAAATGTAGTATTTGCAGCTGCTCCCCAGTGCTAGCATCACCATCTCAGTCCACCCCAGATCATTAAGCATTAGATTCTCATAAGGACGTAACCTATGAATGCATTCATAGTTCACAGTAGGGTTCATGCTCCTGTAAGAATCTAATGCTGCCACTGATCTGACAGGTGTAATGCAGGCTATGGGGAATGGCTGCAGATACAGAAGAAGCTTTGCTCACTTGCCCACTACTCCCATCTTGCTGCACAGCTAGGTGGACCTGTCCCTACTGTAGATGGAGATCAGCAAGTGGCGTGGTGGTTAAGGTGCTGGACACTCCCACATGGCCAACCACAGTTCAAGTTCCAAATCTGGTGGCTTGCTTTCTTGCTTTCCCTCTCTCTCTGGTCAAATTAATATAAATGAATGAATGAACAAAATGAAATATTATCTTCAAAAAAACACTGTAGATGTTACATATATTACTAACACTAGACATGACAAATGAAAAAATAATGAATTCCTTGGTGTTGCAAGGTTTACTTTATTGCACTAAACATGATGAAAAAAATAATAAGAACAGCAAGAGATCACTTTCCACTGGGATACACAATTTACTGGAAAGGTAAAATGTTCAGGCAATGTCTTGCTTTGTTTCGTTTTTAAGCTTATTTATTTATTTCATCCACGATAGAGAGAGAGAGATACAGCACTCCATCAGGGTCTTCATGCCATGACCCGTCCCCAGCCTCAGCCAGCTTGGGATACAGGAACACATGCATGCCCACTATTTACAGGGAGGGCACAGAAAATGAATCCAGGGCCTTCCCATGTGTGTCCACTTGTCTGGTCCCACAGGTAACATTCTAAGAAAATAGTTGTAACTCTTGAATGCACCTCAATAGCAGTAAGAGGTGGCTACAAAATTATTACAGTGGTACAATATGTACTATAGTAAATTTTATACAGTTTTCTTTTTTTTTTAGATTTTTGCCATAGTGCACATGAGAGAAACAAAGAGAGGGAAAGTAAGAAATCACTATTGCCAAGCAGGATAGCCATGCCGCAGTCCCTTCTCCTCCATTCCCCTCTCAGAATTTTGAGCATACACATATATGAACCCAGCATGTTTTTCAAGCCACCAAGTCCAAGACTTGAACTGCAGTCAGCCATGTGGGATCCAGCACCTTAACCACCATGTCTCCTGCTGGCCCTTAAGTGGTTAGATTTAATATTGCATCTTTATGTTTGTTTATATTTCTCTTTATTGTGAATGTGACATGTATGGTCTGTGTGTATATATATTTTGACAAATCTTAACTTCCTATAATAAATTTGTGTATATTTTATAGTAGTAAGTAATAAGATAGACTAGTATCTACATATATTTTATGCATTCACTATATATCTTTTTCTTAATTTTTTTGCTATTTCTAGGCTACATGGTTCATCTGTGAGTTTTTTTAAATTGTTACAAATCTCCAATAATTTTGCTAATATATATATTGAAAAAAATCCACATGTAAGTAGACCCACACAGTTCAACCTATGTTGTACAACAATCAACTATATACCCTAAAATATTTAGTAGTAGACTAACTTACTCTAAAATGGTTCAGAAAAAAAAAAACTATACATATATAGATAGATAGAAGGGGAGCAAGAATAATAAACAAAGTACAACATAACGAACTGGGTAAAGGAGGCCAGCAGATGGCATAGCGGTTACATCACTGGACTCCTACATGGATGACTGCTGTTCAAGTCCTGGACCTGGGGCCTTGAAAATCACATGGGACAAATGTGCATGTGTGCCCAAGTTCTCAAGAGGAGAATGGAGGAGAAGGAATTGTGGCATGGCCATCCTCCCCAGGGGGAGATTGATTTCTCATTGTCCCTCACTGTCTCTGTCTCTCTCTCTCCAGCGAGTACACACGCCCTATGGCAAAACTTCTAAAGAAGACAAAAAATAATTGGATAGAGAATCTGGGTAAATATTACATAGGTGTGATTTATGAACTTTTATGCAAATTTAAAATTCTATACAAATAAAAACTTACAGAACAAAAAGAAAATACCTTCATAGAGAAAAAACTGTATCTACGTAAGACCAAAAGAGCTCTTTTATTAAGTACAAAATAAAAGTAACAAGTAGTAAGAAAGAATTGTTTAATTAGTAGTTTTATTTAGAATTATTTAATTTTATTTATTTATTTTAATTAGACCAGAGAGAGAGAGAGAGGGAGAGAGAGAGAGAGAGAGGCAAAGTGAGAAAGCAAGCCATCAGGTCTGGGACTTGAACCATGGTCAGCCATGTGGCAGTCCAGCACCATTAACCACGCCACCTGCTGGCCCTGGATGGGTTTTTTAGTGGTACTTAATAAGGATCTTAGAATCAATATTTCCTCAAGTTCAATTAAGTGCAGTAAAAATAGTAGTAACAATTCATTATACAATTTACCAGTTGCCAGGTACTTTATATTAATTTTGTCATTTAATCTCTACAACATCACTTCTTGGCTTTTGGCTAAAATTAAGTACTATCTTCACAACACCCCTATGAGACAGATACTATTATGATCTCTAATTTACAGATGAGGAAATTGAAGCACCAATGCATTAACTAACTTGCCCAAGGTCACCAGTAAATAAATGGCAGAGTCTAATGGCAGAAGTCCACCCCAAGCAATCTGCCTCCTGAGTACATGCTCTTTTTTTTTAAAGGAATGATTTATTTTATTTATTCATTCATTTTTATTTTTTAATTTGACCAGAGACACACAAAGAGAAGAAAGAAAGAGAAAGTGAGAAAGCGAGCCACCAGATCCAGGACTTGAACCACAGTCTGCCATGTGGGAGTGTCCAGGGCCTTCACCACCATGGAACTTGCTGGTCCCAGTACAGGCTCTTAACCACTAGGTTACATTAACCCTGCAATTACCTTGGTCGGTCCTGAGTATTCCTGACTTTCCACACCAGCCCTCTCTAGCATGGTATCCATCACATTATTCAGCTGGATCACTTCTACTCTTTTATTAGGTTTCCTAAACGATTAAGATGACAGACTTTTGTAATTAGTGCTAAAAAAAAAGTTATTCACAAATGGCAAAAATAATGCATATAAACAAATGTATATTCTCTGGAATATTAAAAATATTTGAAAACATTAGGCCTATATCTATTGTTCTAGTGAGATATCAGTAATACAGTGGGGAAAGAAAAGAGAAACATAAATAGTATCATCCTCTCTTTTTTAAAAGAAAATGATTTCAAAAATTGTATATACTATTTTATAATATTGTAAGAACATAATAAAAGGGAAGAGATAAACCCAAAGTAATTAACATTGGTAACCTCCAATAGGAAAGAAGAAAAGGGGAAAGGGAAAGACTTAAACAAACAAACAAAACAAAAATTGTAGCAAAATGGAGAACTAATAATGGTTAAATGTACAACATGAAAGTATTTTATAGTACTTGAATATTATGCTATATATATAAATATATGCAACTGAATAAATTAAAATACTGGTTAGATAATGAAATTGTAGGAAAATTTTCTTTTGAGTTTCTGCTATAATTTCAATATTTTTTATTTAATAAAAGTACCAAGAAAAAGGGATATATATATATATATATATATATATATATATGCATAAAGATATTCTCTATGAGAAATACTTTAGAAAACAAATTGTACTTACATGGATGGGAAAAGCAATAGCCTGTTTTCACTATCTGTGAGGAGAGTAGTATATTTGCTACAATAAATAAGATAGAAACATGTTATTTTAAATAAATTTTCTAGCCTGTTTATTAATTATCACACATTGCAAACACAGATTCTTGGTTTCTTTTTGCTTTCTTCCTTTTTTTGAGAGAGAGAGAGTTTCTTTGTTTTAGGGTCTGTGCACTTGCCAGAGAGACAGAAAGAAAGAACATGAGAAATGATGCCCCAGGGAGGACCATGCCACGATCGCTTCTCCTCCATTCTCCTTTTGGGATTATGGGGATGCATGCACATGTGCTCGGTGTGATTTTCAAGTCACCAGGTCTGGGACTCAAACCATGGTCTGTCATGTGGGAATCTAGCACCTTAACCAGGTATGCCACCTGCTGGCCCCAGAAGGTTTCTAAGTACCATTCTCCACTAAAAGAAATCAGTGCTCCCTGGAAAAGTTACTCCTGGCTCATTCCAAGGCTGGAGTTGGGGAACATAACATAATAAACTGAAGATCTCATGGAATTGATAAGCTTGGAGGTCCATAATTTGCACAAAAGATCTTATCTAAATATTCTCAGATATCCACAGACACAGATATAATGACATTTATCATATTTGGAACAATTGTAGAAAAGGAGATTTAACATATTCCTTGATGTATTAAAATATAAAAATTTCCTTGATTAATTTTTACAAAGGTATGGGGCCGGCAAGTGGCATGGTGGTTAAAGGCGCTGGACTCCCACATGGCCAACCATGGTTCAAGTCTCGGACCTGGTGGCTTGCTTTCTCACTTCCTCTCTTTCTCTCTCTCTGTCTCTCTCTGATCAAAGTGGAAAATAATAATGATAATAATAATAAATAAAGTTAAAATAAAATAATTCTTTTAAAAAATTTTTTTACAAAGGTATAAGGAAGTTCTAAGAATATTGAGGTCAACAAAGTTAAGTGACTAAGGGACCAGTAGTTGGTATAATGCCTGTCACTGGACTCCCATGTAGTCGACCACGGTTCGAGTCCTGGACCTGATGGCTTAAACTCACACTGGGCGCATGTGCATGCATGCACAAGATCCCAAGAGGAAAATGGAGGAGAAGGGGTTGCAGTGTGGCCATCCCCCTGGGGGGGACGATTTCTTGCTTTCTATCTTTCTGTCTCTGTCTTTCTGGCGAGCACATGGCGCCCTATAGCAAAAACCTCTCCAAAAAAAAATAGGTCAGAAGCAGAGGTGACAGAACCCTAGTTTTCAGACTCCCAACTATATTTGTCTTCTGAAAGTAATGATTTGCACCTAAATGAGTATCACAATTAACTTTCTCCTAAGAACCACATGGAAATCTATTCATTTCTGTTTATAGATATCATTCTTCTTCCCCTAGTTAGTAAGTGTGCCCTCTTGCCCTCTACTGTAACCATTGATGACTAAAGTCTATTTTAAGAATTTAGATCAATCCAGTCTCCAGGGCACAAAAGATTCAAAATACAATTTCAAAAATAGGTGTGTGAGAGGAAATGATATCCCAGGAACAATTAGCACAGCTTGTACCTAAATCTTGATTCTAAGTGCCACTCTCCACTAAAAGAAATCAGCACTCCCTGAAGAAATGACTCATGGCTCATTCTAGGACTGCTATTGTGAAATACTAGATGAACATGGAAATCTTATCAAGCCAGAATATAAGAGTTTAAATGAGAATGGGGATATATTCAAAGAACACAAAAGAGCTGCCACTGGTCAAATCTCAAAATTTCTGAACATTAAAATATAGTAAAGAGTTAAAACCCAAGCCGGCAAGTGGCATAATGGTTAGGACACTGGACTCCCATATGGTCAACCATAGTTTGAGTCCCAGACCCAACAGCTTTAAATTCACACCAGGTGCATGTGTGTGCATGCCCAAAATTCAAAGAGAATGGAGGAGAAGGGATTGAGGCATGGCCATCTCCCATGGAGTGGTGATTTCTTGCTTTGTCTCAATCTCTTTCTCTCTGGTGAGCATATGTGTTCTATAGCAAAAATCTCTCTCTTAAAAAAAGAAAAATTAAAACCCATCAAACAAAACAGGAATCCAAGAGTCTATATGGTAAAATACCAACTAATAAATATAGAAGAGACGATACTAGAAAAAGTCATTAAAAAGACTGTAACTACTAATATACACTAAATATACACTAAGGTATTCAGTAGTAAGGGTCCATGACATACCAAACTCACTCTTGAATAGTTTTTAAATGTGTGTGGGTGTGTTTGTTTGTGTATACATGCACGTGCACAAGTGTGTGTGTAAAAGCAAATGATCCAAAATGCAAACACCTCATGAATCAGAATAGAAGACATACGGCAGTTCCTAAACCTATATTTGCCACTTTTTTATAAGTTTGAATTAAATAAAAATTAAAAGTTACCCCCAAAATAAGTTCCATTTAATTCTCTCAGGCCAAATGTCGTTATAAAACCTACCATCTGGCCAGTCGTATGGTGTGGTAGTTAAGGCAGCTGGAACCCACATGGCCAACTTTCTTGGATCAGTGACTTGAAAAACATTCCAGGCACATGTGCATGCATGCCCAAAATCCCATAAGAAGAATGAAGAAGACATTGCAGTAGGGACATTCCCCCTGGGGGTTCTCTCTCTCTCTCTCATACACATACCCTGTAACAACAACAAAACAAAACAAACAAAAACAAAAACAAAAAAATTACCATCATAGGGACCAGCAGTTAACGAAATGGCTATGTCGGTGGGCTCCCATGTAGTTGGCCGCGGTTCAAGTCCCGGACCCGGTGGCTTAAACTCACGCTGGGCGCGTGTGCATGAGTGCCCAAGATCCCGAGAGGAGAATGGAGGAGAAGGGATTGCAGCATGGCCATCCCCCCTGGGGGGGTGATTTCTCACTTTCTCTGTCTCTGTCTTTCTGGCGAGCACACACACCCTATAGCAAAAACCTCTCAAAAAAAAAAAAATTACCATCATAAAGAAATACCATACCAGATAACATATACATTGGATGAGAATGATGGCTTTTGGATATTTTATTATAAAACCTTAGTTTGAAGTTTTCATTTTTTGAAGTATAAAATATTCAAGTGTTGTTTCAGAAAATAAAAGCAAGATCATATTTTCAATTCTATAAACAGGAATCAAAGAAAAAAAGATCTGCAGTCTGGAGTGAATTCCTAGAGCATGCATCCATGACAACATAGAGGCTAAGAGGGCTACTTTCCTTTGTTTCCACGTCATTGCTCAAAATCATCCCAAAAAGGCCTAGTGAGCATTCAGAACAAAGTTCCACTCTTTTAAAAAGTGAAATTAAACGGCAGGAAAAGAAAGAAAATCATTTAATCACTAAAATTCCAAATATTTTAAGTCTTTTTCTTTCATTTTAAAAACATCTTTCCTGGGGCCAGCAGGTGGCATAGTGGACATGGCATTCATAAGGCTGGTTTCTCATGTGGCCAACTGAGGTTCGAGTCCCAAACCTGGCAGCTTGAAACTCATGCTGGGTGTATATGTGCATGTGCCCAAAATCCTGAGAGGAGAAGGAATTGCAGTGTGGCTATCCCCTAGGGAGCTGATTTCTTGCTTTCTGTGTCTTTGTCTCCTCCCTCTGTCTTTCTGGTGAGTGCCTACACCCTATAGCAAAAATCTCTCTCTCTCTCTCTCATATACTTTCTTAAATTGTGTTAGGGTAGCTGGCTCAAATGTTTCTCATTTCATTGCAAATATTGCCAGGAACATGAGAGTACTTTTCTCTAGTTCTTCCACATCTGAGGAGGGGAAGGGTTCAAGTTGTCAGGTATTCAGTACATAACACAGTACTCACTCATCATGACACTCCAAACCTGAGACTCCTGTACTCGACACGATATGAAATTCTTCAGGAACCAAAGTATCTGTTAGTGTCTTTGGCTTTAAAAAAAAAAAAAAAGGCAAAAAAGATAAAAGGAAAAGAGGGAGAGAGGGAAAG